GGGTAAGTGTGCATTGAATTAAAAAAAATTATCTCTCTTCATACTTCACGTCCCGTGGTGCATTGCGTCTTTCCCAAGCTCTCGCGTGTGCTTCGCTGCCGCCGTTGTTCCATTGAGCTAACCTCAACATGGCATCCGACGGACCGCCGGGCACTGACTCTCTCCCGTCCGATTTGGGGAGTGCTATTGCAGCTCTGAATACATGGAGCATCCCGGATCTTCAGGGCAAGCTGGCAGAGCTGGGAGTACCCAACATGGGTAAGAAGAACACCCGCGTAGAGCACTAACATAGACAGTATTTGGCTATCGGCAGCTAGCCAGTTGCTAACTTTAGCTAGTAGCGTTAAAACGCAATGCTTCCGTTGCAACGAGTTTAAGCTAGGCCTGCGTTATGTTTACACTCTGTTGAGTTCATTTCACGCACTAATTAATCGAGTACGTGACATTTTAATCCCTGTGATGCAAGTTGGATAAAGTTATGACCATTTGGTTAGCTATTTTCCTTAATATGAGTTCTGTAACTAGTGCAGCGGTTTAGCTGCTTTGCTAACTTTAATACGAAGCGGTCAGCGTTAGCTAGTTTTGCACAACTTTAAAATGCGCTCAGAGTTGTTCTGGTACATTTTTGGTGTACATATTACAAGCCTAGATTCATATCTACCTTGTTTAACAGCCGTTTCCGATTCATTCTTTCTCTCTTTAGGTCCCAGAGAGGAGTTGATTGACAGACTGAAGGGCTACATGATGCAGGTAAATGCGTTTAAATTCAGTTTTATCCGGTCATCGCTCAGCTGTTTGGTATGGTGATGAAGCTTTTTCTAACTGTTGATGACCTTTTCAGGCTAGAGTAATCTTGAATAAAGTCTGAGGAAAAGTTATTAGTAAATCCTAGCTATCCTAGCTCTGTTTCTCTGACCTCCCCGCCTTTTCTTTAAAATTAAAGAAACTGTGTCTTGAACGTGTCCCTCCACAGACTGGGATTCTCCTCAGCAAACCTGATGATAAACAAATGGGCTCCCAGGTAATTTGGAGGGAAACGCTGATATCTGTTTAATACTGCAGTATACAATGGTGAACCACATGTCAGTGTAGTGTTTTTTCTATATTTTGATTTACATGTTTAAAGGTTGCCATTTTTGAACACTGGACCAGCTTTTTATCCTCTCAAGGATATTTGAGGTGTGTGTGAGTTTGCCCATCCAGTCTACCGCTATTTGTTTTGCGGACTTTGAGAAGGCATTTACCCTGGTCCTTCGCAGTGTCCTATGGGGCTGCTTCATTAAAATGGGTGTTTGGCCCATTTTTACAAGCCATTTGGTTCCTCTACAAGTGTCACAAGAGCTTAGTCCACAACAATTAGTCTGATGCGTTTCCAGTCGGTGCTGGACTCAGGCAGCACTGCCCTGTGTCACCAATCCTGTTCAGTTTTTAAGATCAGAATCGTTGGCATAGCCAGGAGGCAGAAGGCTTCCACCTTAGTGGCCTCAGGATTTAGTCTGTGAATAACTAAAGCAAGTTCATAGACAAGGTATGCAAAATTTACAGTGTTACACATTTACTTAACAAGGAAAAGATCCCGTTCTAGGAGGACATGCTTCTCGTTCTGTCAGGGCGGGCTTCTAC